CGGTACGGGGGCAACACTGAGGGTTGCGATCCGTTGCCGGACACGGAAAAAGACAAAAGACAAAAAAAAAAAAAAATAGGGATAAGAATACCTGCCTCATCGGGTTGTCACGCAGATTATGGACACAATAGAGATAAAAGCTTAGAACAGTGCCTGGCAGATAACAAGTGCTGGAGGGTGCCCATCTGCATTTAGCTCCTCATCAGGAACAGCTTTCATAATGAACTAGGTGGGACTTTGCATCTCTTGCCCTATGTAACTTCACGTCCACAGACTTGTTTATGTCTGTAGGGGGAGAATGGTAACAACTCACATTTTATAGTGCTTTATTGTTTATAAAGTGCCTTCCCATACATCACCTCATTGCTCTGTAAAGACAGTGTAATGTGATGGAAGGAAACTGGGTTGGGGATACACAGCCCTAGATTTGAGTCCCAGCTTAGTGACTACTTGTCTTGAGATCTCAGGTGCACAGCTTAGCCTCCAAGCTCAGTATCTCTATCTGCTTATTCCTAAAATAAGGATTGTTATACCAAACTAATAGTGTTGTGATTAAATGGCATACAGGTGGTACTAAATAAGTATCATCACTATTAATGAGATCATCTACAGTAGGTGTTATTATTCCTATTCTATAGATAAAGAATGGAGACATAGAGGGTGACATATCTTGTCTGAGGTCCCCCAGCTTGTAGTGAGTGTAGCTGAGATTCTAACCAATCAAGAAGAGGGACGGAGGAAAGGTGGAGACGAGAGAGACTTTTTCAACATACAAACTTGAGATAGGGAATGAGACCTTGGCCCTGAAGGGAAAGGGAAGCTGGAACCCCTTCTGTTCACCACTGTGATGAGAGTAAGCATTTTAGATGGTAGTCTAAAAAAGTTATTTTCTAGCCCTCCCTTCCATGAGCAGGAGCAGAGAAAGGCTTTCTTACAAGTGGGCAACTGCCTGGCCACAGAGAGAACAGCCTCTTCCTTTCAAAGCAGGCCAGGGTCAAAGAGCAGAAGGGTCATTTCCTGCTCAGATTTCAGGTATCTTGTCCAGAAACATGGGGCATTTCCCTCTCTGCCATCCCATGTTCCTGCCACCCCATGCACTAGGCTCATGCCACTAATAATAAAAGGGTCAACACAGTCAGACAGTACCGGGGTTTTCCTTGACAACGAAAGCTACTGAGTCCACCCCGACGTATGCTGACATCATCAGCCTGACTCTGAGCAACATGAAGAAGCGAAAAGACCACCTCAGTCAGTTGTACCGGCTTCACCGGAGTGAATGGAATTATTTTGATAAGTACCTGAAGGAACTGCAAGACAACTTCTTCAGGTATTGAAGGGGCTTTAAGGGGGTGCCACTGTTTCAGCACCGGTCTATTGAGGCAAATCAAAATTCTTAGGGAGCAGGGCCAGCCCTGTAACTGTCTTACGCACGATCAACTTCTTGTGGTCAGAATGTAAATTCCTCAATAACAGAGATGCGATCTCTTTTATTAAGTTTTTTTTTTTTTCTAACTACAAAAACATTACATGCTTGATTAAAGCAAACAAAAAACCTGGAAAACTACATAAAAGCACCTGGAGATATACATTGCCAACATTTTTCTATAAATCTTTCCCGTCTGTTTTTTCTGGGTACATATATCTGTATCACTAAACAAAAGTAGTCAGATTGTCAGTCTATTTTTTAGATTTTTTTTCTACACTTAGCAGCATATTATGAACATTTTCTTGTGCCTTCTGCCTTTCTCAATATTTTTATTTTATTTAAAAATGTTTAGACCTTTCAGGAAAGTTGAAAGGATAGTACAGGGAACAACCATATACCATCACTGCTTTTACCAAATATTCACATTTTGCCACATTTGCTTTGTCTCTGTAATATATAGTCCAAATTCAAATTTCCCCATTTGTGCCCAAAGTGTCTTTTTTGGTTTTACTTACTGTTCTGGGATCCAATCAAGGATAAGAAATTATATTTTGTTGTTTTATCTCTTCGGTGTCTTTTAATCTGTAACAGTGCCCTGCCCCCACCCCATTTCTATACATTTTTTTTAATAACATGAACGTTTTGGAAAAGCTCAAGCCACATTCTGGATTTTCTGATATTTCCTTAGGATATCATTGAATTTGTTCCATTATATCCTGTATTTCCTGTACACTAGACATTAGGTCTATACTAGAGGCTTGGTTAGATTCAGGTTAAATCTTTTTGCCAGGAAGCCTTCATAGATGATGTTGTATGTTCATTTCGCATCCCATCAGGAGGCATATCGTGTCCGCTTCTTCTGGTCGTGAGTCTGAACACGTGGTGGTATCTGCTAAATCTCTGCATTGTAAGAGTACATGTTTCCCTTTCTAATTAGTCAGTAATAAGTGATGTGATTCTTTCAGACCATGTGAATGTGCCTTCCCAACAACCTTCACCCAGTGATGTTAGCATCCATTGATGGTCTTTGACTGAATCAATTATTACATCAATTGCAAAATGGTGATTTTTCTATTTCTTCCATTCCTTCTCTATTTATTAGCTGGCATTTTTCTGTAAAGAACAGCTCATCTTCTCTTTTTCCTCTTTGTCATTCTCATGTCTTCCCTGCAAGCCCCCACAAATCTTTCAGGTGGCCACCCTGGCTGCAAGGGAAGCTTGGGAAGTATCTGGCAAAGGGTAGTGAGATTTCCATAAGTGGACTAGACCTTCCATAGAACTGGGCATTTCGTTGTCCAAAACAAAATGGGATTCAGTTTGCAAGGGAGAAAGGGGGAATTGCTATTGGCTAAACAGCTATCTGTGTCTGCCACGATAAGAGAGACAGAAAAATATGAACACATAGGTAAATACTTTGTTATGCAATGTGATACAATTGAGTTATTCCTAAAATGTTATGGGACACAGACAAATGACACACACACTCACAAAACCCTGTTAAACACCACCACCATAGGAATGCAGTTCAGCCTGAGCGTTCATCAAAAGATGATTGGTTAAATAAACTATTCATGCATCCATATTCTGCAGCCAAGAAAAACGTCCATCTATTTTTATTTTATGAGGAAAGATGCCCACAACATATTATTGAACCAAAACTCATGTTACAAAATAGTGTGTGTAAATAGGTGCAGTTATTTACTTATCCTCATTTTACAGATGTAGAAGCTGAGGTTGAGGACAGAACCTTGGAGGGCAGCTTATATGTGGGAGGGAACGGAATATGGGGCAGGGGGAGAAGGGAAGGAAGGGTGTGCCCATATATGAAGGCACACCAATCGTGATGCCAAGGGAAGAAAGAACACCAGGGGCACAAGCAGCAGCAGTGTGGTGGCCAGACTCTGAGCTGTGGGGCGGAGACAGGTGTGGGAACTTGATAGACAGCAGTCTCTACAGGGCTGAAGGCAGAGGCCAGAGCCTGACACATTAAGGGACAGGTGTGAGTAGTCCCCATGGGTAGGTGGAATTACTAAGAAACAGATGGCATAAAATTCTGCATTAGAAAGGCAAGATTGAATGGAGAGTAACAGGGCTATTTAAACATAAGGTGGTGTTTCAAGCAATGTATATTTTTCTAATGTGAATACTGACACAAACGAACCTTTTATTTAAAAAAAATAGTCTTTCTAAAATAAATAAATAAATAAATAAAAATAAACATAAGGTGGAAGACCCAAGCCTGTGTGAAGGGGGAGAGATTGGAGATGTAGGTGAGGGAAGAGATGGTCGGAGGGGAGGAAGGGAGAAGACACAGGGACCTCTCTTGAGGGCTTTTTGCTTCTGCCTCTGTTACTATAGTTCATTACGCTTTGTTTCTTCTCTAGTTCACTGACCTGACAAATACTTTCAGCACCTTCTGTGCACCAGGCATTATGTTTTGTTTACATGTCTGTCTCTCCCAATGGTTGTAATGATCCTTGATGGTGGGCAGAGGCTAGGGTTAGAATATAGGTCTTTTTACTTACTGGCTCTATCACCTTGGACCAATCACACAGATCACTGAGCTTCAGTTCTTTTGTTGGTAAATGAATATAGTATTTCCTACTTTGTACAGTTGTATTGATCAAATAAAATAAGGCATCTGAAGCCTTTACATAGGACCAGGTCCATAGATAGTATATAATTGTGTCAGTTAGAATTAGGTTTGGTCTAGAGTGACAAAAAACCAAAATAAGGGCCGGCCCGGTGGCGCACTGGATGGTGCGCCGCTTGGGAAGCGCGGCGGCGCTCCCGTCCGAGGGTTCGGATCCCACATACAGACCGGCTCCCGCTCACTGGCTGGTTGTTTCTACCTTTTGGCTATTGTGAACAATGCTACTATAAACATGGATGTACAGATACCTATTCAAGTCCCTGTTTTCAGTTTTTTGGGGTATATACCCAGAAGTGGAATTGCTGGATCATATGGTAGGTAATTGTACGTTTAATTTGTTGAGGAATTGCACTCCCCTCGTAGCCCACAGAGTAAACTTCCTAGAAGGCAAATCTGGCCTTGTCACTCCCAGCTTAAAATTCTTTAATGTTTCCCTAATTGACTTTAGGGTGAAATTCAGACTCCTCAATATAGAAGATCCTTTGCAGACAATTACACTTCTACTCCAAGACCTCCCACCCCAAGTACCTCACTCCTTTCTCCGAGGTTCCAAAGCACCTCATATATATAGTACTTCTATTAGCTCTGCCCCCACTCTATTGTTAATGGTTTATATTTCTATCTCCTTTACTAGGCTGTAAGCTATTTGACAACAAGATCCATATTTGTATTCCTCTTTGTATCCCCAGCACCCTTCCACAGTGTCTAAGACATACAAGAAACTCAACACATGTTTACTAAATGAATTAAAGCCAGTTCAGCCATCCAAAGATAAAAATATTGCCATGTTAAAAATAAGCAAAGTAACAGAAAACATAGAATACAGGTTAAACATACACATGAGTGTACTTCAAAAAATTCATGGAAAAACAGAAAAGATAATACAAATGTTTCCATGAACTTTTTGAAGACCCCTCGTGTGTGTGTGTGTGTGTGTGTGTGTGTGTGTGTGTGTGTAAATTGAGAAAGCCTCTTTTCTTTACTTGTAACATGTAGCTATTCACGTGTTAGTTTCCATTTTTAGTTGTAAGCTCCTTACAGTGCCATCTGGGAACCTGCTAAGCACAATGAAGGAAAACAGGCCTAATTGGGGAAATCTGAACACTGGGTATTAGATGATATTAAAGAATTCCTTTTATTGGTGTTTCTTTTTTAGGTATTATGATTGTTTTGTAGTAATTTTTTTTTAAGTCATGTCCTAAAGAGAGAGATAAGAGTATATGGATACGACAATATGGTGTGTAGAATTTGCTTTAAAATAACCCATTTGGGGTTGGGGGAGGGAGGGAAAGAGCATAATAGATAAATCAAGATTGACCTTATGTTGATAACTGTTAAAGCTAGATAGTGCGTAAATGATGTTAATTATTCTACATTATTTTTATGTATGTTTAAAATTTTAAATAATAGAAAGTTTTTTTTTTTCAGATAGTGGCCCATGGGCTGGCCGGTTAGCTCAGCTGGTTAGATAATCCCAAGGTCACATGTACAGATCCTTATAACCTTATAACCCCAAAGTCACGGGTTCAGATCCCCATACCAGCCAGTTGCCCCCGAAAATTAGTAAATAGGTTCTCAAATAGTAGCCATAACAAGAACAAAAGGTTATGAACATCCGTGTGAAATATTACTCATAGGTGGGCTAGGACTCTGGGGACATAAGTTTCCACTTGTTTCCCTAATAGAGTATGTTGGTTGGGAGCATTGGCTTTGACGTTGGACAGACTGCAGCTCCAGTTACAGCTCTGTCTTGCTTTCTGTGTGAATTAGGCTCATCATTTAGTCCATGCAGGGCTTGGATACCTTGTCTGTAAAACAGGACAATATTAGTATCTGCCTTGCAGTGTAGTTGTGTGGGTTAAAAGAGATGTCTAGCTCAGCGCCTGGCTCAGAGGAAGTGTTCAGTAAATGCCGTCTGGTAGAGATAATACATGGGACCCTCATCCCATGAAAACTGCAGGGGACATGGCAGCACAAGGAGTTGTAGCTGGAAGGCTTGCAGCTGGGGAGGCCTGGAGCAAACCCCACCCCTTAGAGAAGTCAATCCAGCCGCTCTTCTGCAGGGGCCCCTGCTCTAGGTGCAAGAAGAGCCTGGTTTGCTCATGCACACAAGCTACACCAAGCAGGGTCAATTGCTGCTAAGCTCTTAGTTTTCTTGTGCATCCGGAGCCCTGACCTTCAAACACATCCGGGGCAGAGCACCCAGTATTCAAAATGCTCTTTGCAAAAAAAAAAAAATTTAATAAAATAAGTAAGAAGAGAATCTAAATGTTCTTTACAGAACTCCATGAAATGTTTCAACACATAATTCTATCATAAAAACTAGACTCTCTTACTAGTGGAAAATGTGAGTCTAGGATGTGTGTAGGTTTCAACGTCTCAAGAAATGATCATATAGAAAATATCATCAAGAATTACCTCCAAGTTGTTCTGTTAGAAAATGTGATCATATCTAGGATAAATGCAATTTTCTGTTTGTTATTTGTCTCCCCATTGCAAGCAGAAAGAGGTTCCAAAGGGTTAAGAAAATGTTAGGTAAGAAGATCCTAAAAGTGAGAATGTTTTGTCAACATAATTTTTTCTTTTGACTTGGGAGAGGACCCCTATTGTTGGAATAACCACTGGTTTAGGCCAATTTCAATGCTAACTTTTAAATACCAGTCTTTTTACATCTATCCTACCGTGGCAGAGTATATGACAGCCTCTTAATTCATTTAAATACATATTGATTGCTATTTTGTCTACCTTGAATACCCATAACCTGCTTCTCCACTGAGTAAATATCTACTCACATTTCAAACACCAAATGATATACTGCCCAATTCAGCATTCCCAGAGCTATATGAATATGTTCTACTGAAAAGCTTCTCCTATAATAACAGCAACAGCCTACATTTATTGAGCTTTTTCTGTGAACCAGGCGCTGTGTTAAGTGCTGGACCTGTGGTAACTCAGTCCTCACCACAACACTAGGTTCTATCATCACCATGTTGAGATGAATACCCTGACACTGAGAGGTTAAGTAATTTGTCAAGGTCACACAGCAAGTGGCAGAATCCCACCTCGAATTCAGATTTCCTTCAAAGTTCATACATACTTCAGCTTTCCCTCAAATTGTGGATTTCCTCACCCATCTCCCTGATGTGAGTTTATGTTCCAGGGACCACTTCTTTCTCGCCTTTCCTTCAAAGTTCATACATACTTCAGCTTTCCCTCAAATCGTGGATTTCCTCACCCATCTCCCTGATGTGAGTTTATGTTCCAGGGACCACTTCTTTCTCGCCATGTCCCCAGGGACTGAGTCACTGCTGTGTGGTCACTGTTGCTCGTGACAGACTAATGAACAAACTTGTAAATATTTGCCTACTTGAACATATGAAGATAGGAGTGAAAAGATCACACTGACTCTTTAGTCTTTTTCCATATGTGTCTTTGTGGTTTCTCCCCAGGGAGGTGAAAAATATTGATCAAAAAATGGCAGATAAAAAAAAGTCAAGCCACACGTTCATCCCACCTTCAACCTGCAATGAAGAATTCCTTGACAAGAGACCTAGGGGAAACTGCTGCAGGGAGACTGCATTTCTCTTAAGGTTTTTTTGAACAAAAACCACGGAAAAGCAGAGGTGTGAACAGTGTAAGAATTCTTAAAACATAGGCAAGAGCACATAAAACTCACAAGAGCACATTCATTCACTTTTATGTATTATTCACTCAACTCTTATTTTTATTATTATTGGTGGTAGTAAGAGCTACCAGTGATTTTGTACTTCCTCTGTGCTAAGCACTGGGCTACGTACTTTATGAGCTGAGCTGTACGAGTCAGAGTTCTATGGTTGCAAATGCCAGGAAGCCAGCCAAACTTGCTTAAGCTGAAAGAGAATCTAGCGGCTTAAGTAACCGGGAAGACCATGATAGGCTGGCTGCGGGCATGTTGGACCTAAGGTCTCCATGATATTTTCAGGCTCTCTCTCTCTCTCTCCACCCCCACCCACCTCCTTCCCTGTGTGTGCTGTCTTCTTCTTCAAACTGCCCTCAGTGCCCTGAGAGCCATGGACAGCCTCAGGCCTATGTCCTTATAGTGCATGACCCAAAAAGAAGAGAGACAGCCTCTCTCAGCCTCCATCAGCCAAGCTTCATGGCAGGCTCTGATGGCTCCACTGGGGCTGTTGCCACGCCACCCTGCCTGGACCAACACTATCTTGAGGAGGAAGCAGTGCGATGATTAGCCAGGCCTGTGTGTCCCTTGGGCCAGAGAGCGCAAGGCACAGTCGATGACATGGGTGGAATGGGTGAGATGCCATCAGAAAAAGACAACGTGCCCACTTAATTTTGTTTATAGATCATCAAAAACGCTATTAGATATCATCACCCCCATTTTACTGAATAGAAAACTGAGAAGCCAAGCGAACACTCACCGAAGACCTGCTCTGCCAGGCACTAAGGATTCAAAGAGATAAATAAGTTAAAGTCCTTGTCCTCAAGGGCTCATGGTCCAGAAGGAGGAAAAAGATATGTAAATAGATAGTATGCAACAAAGTTGTATCAGTCCTGAGAGAGGACTTCAAAAGGGAACAGAGTAGCATGGGGTCAGTTCTTTTTGTTTGCTTGTGACGGGGGAGAGGAAGCATGGGCTGGCATTCCAGGCAGGTGCCGCTCAAGCCAACTGGAAGAGCTAGAAGTGACTGGCTGCCACTGGGTCTGGCTGAGTGTGGGAGTTGAGGAGCGACTGGAGGGGCAGCAGGGGCTTCACATGCCACACGTCTAGGAGTCCCACTCTCCTGCAGCCCGTGGGCAGCCATCCAGCAGCTTTAATAGGAGGGACAGTTAGATCAGCACTTTATTTCTGTCAAATAAATACATGCACATGGTTTCTAAAAATCGAATAATAGTATTTGGCTTCTGATGACAAATAGCAGTCCCTGCCCCATCCTTCCCCACAACCAGTCCTATTCTACAGAAGTTAAAATTTTCAATTCTTTTAGCTGCTTTTTTGGAATTTCTAAATAACATGCTTACATATGTATTTCTTGATTTTTTTTCTTTTTAGACATTATCTGTTCATAATATTTTTTCCAGATTGCTAAGAGCTATGAAAAACTAAGCAACATTATTTTCCATATTCTCAAATGTATCATATGTTCTATTAACTTCTTCCTGTTTTTTCGATCATGGAGTTCTCCTCACACCCTCGACCTCCTCACATCTGGACTGGGGTGCCATAGGCTGGCTCACAGCTGTTATCTTGGGACTTCCTTCACCATCACTCCAGGACTTCCCTTTGTTAACTTTACTTTGTTCATATCCTTGTTTCCCAGGTCACATGTCTTTCTCTTTCTTGTTTTACTCCCTCACTTTCCCGGAGCACATCTTCTAGTAGCTCCCAAAGAATAGGTATATGGGAAACGTTTTGAGTTTTTGCATGTCCATAATGTCTTTGTTCTTGATTAATAATTGACAAATGTTTTGCTGGGAATAAAATTCTAAATTAAAATTCAATTTGCCACAGAATTTTGAAAAATTTTTTCTGCCTCCTACTTCTGCTGTTGAGAAGTCTGATGCTCCCTTTTTGAGAAGCCTCCCTGGAAATACCATATAACATTGCCACGTCATTTCAAGGGCCAGATGTTAGTCATGTGGTGATGTTGGTTGCAAAGGAGGCTGGGAAATGTAGTTTTTTGTTTGTTTGTTTTTAATCTGGGCACATTACCCTCTCAAACAAAAGCTGGTTTCATTGCTAAGGTTTTTCCTAATGGGGAGAGTGGATGATGTGTTGTTAACTAACTGTCTCTATCAGATAGATGGTGTTATACTCTCCACCTTAGAGATGAAGAAACCAAAGCTGGGCTGGCTGGTTAGCTCAGTTGGTTAGCGCATGGTGCTGATAACACCGAGATCCTGGGTTTGATGCCTGTACTGGCCAGCCACCAAAAAAAAGAAAAAAGAGAAAGAAACTAAAGCTTAACAGGATTGAAAATTTTGCCCAAGGAAATCTTCCAATTTAAATTTTCCTTTGAATTGAGAAAAGACCACAATTTTTTTTGTTACAACACTTTAGCTTGAGTCATGGAATTTTATAGGATTATTGGTGGATCATTAATAATAGCCTTTCTAACATCCATCTTAGATTCTTGGAAATATTTTTTAAAAACACCTCAGTCTAATTCTCCAGTATTATTGTTGTTCCCTCAGACTTGACTATCCTTTAACTACGTCCTTATCTAGTTAATCCCCACCTGACCCTTAAAACTGAGCTCAGGCACCACCTTGCCCAGGAAGTCTTCCCTGACTGTCCTACTCAGGGCACCCATTACGTGTCCTGTGCTTTCTCGATTACATTCCACAGAACATATCCTACTCTAGCCATAGATTTGATTGTCCATCTCCCTAGATTGTATGTTTGGACTGGAGGTCAGGAACCTTGTCCTAGATGACATTTTTTCGCAGAGTCTAGTCCAGTGCCCAGCACCCAACAGATGCTCAGTCAATGCTTGGAAGGTGAATGAGGGGTCGTTGTGCTGTGTTCAGCACTCTGCTTCAGTTATTTACTTTTGCCAACGTAACTGACTGGTCTGTGAACTTTTTCTCTCAAGATTCCAGTGAAACCTTTGTAGGGATTGCATAAAATTTCTGCTAATTTTTTTGTTTCCCCCACAGGAAGGAAAAGGAGGGGAAAAGAGATGAGAAACAGAAGATGAACAATTCGTCCCTCTCACTTCCAAACCTGAGGAACACTATTCCCTGAAACTAGGAGGCCTCTGCGGAGTCTCTGATATTTCTGCTCCCAGCTGGGGTGAAACAACAGGAGGAAAGAAAATTGTGGCCAAAGATTGAGATGTAGAAATCACTGTTCCTGGGGTCAGGGAAAGAGTCCATTGTAGTTTTCCCGAGGCTGAGTAAAAAGCAGGAATGAGGAGTCTCGTGCTTGCATCACTATATTTATTCATGCATTTACTCTTTTATTCATTATTCTATTTATTTATTTATTTTTCCCCCCTTTTTGTCTTTTTTTGTGACCGGCAACGGATCACAACCCTCAGTGTCGCGCCCACACTGGACCGGGACTGGCAACGGGATCGCAACCCTCGGCATTGCGCCCGCACCTTGCTCAGCCAGTGAGCAGGAACCGGTCTGTATGTGGGATCCGAACCCTCAGCGGGAGCGCCGCCACACTCCCAAGCGGCGCACTGTAGCAATGCGCCACCGGGCTGGCCCCTCATTATTCTATTTAAAATATTATAAACAAGGGCTGGCCCGTGGCTCACTTGGGAGAGCATGGTGCTGACAACACCAAGTCAAGGGTTAAGATCCCCTTACCAGTCATCTTTTAAAAATACATAAAAACATATATTATAAATAACAATACTACATTATAATATGATACTGATGGCTCCGAGCGGTGCACTGTAGCAGTGCGCCACCGGGCTGGCCCCTCATTATTCTATTTAAAATATTATAAACAAGGGCTGGCCCGTGGCTCACTTGGGAGAGCATGGTGCTGACAACACCAAGTCAAGGGTTAAGATCCCCTTACCAGTCATCTTTTAAAAATACATAAAAACATATATTATAAATAACAATACTACATTATAATATGATACTGATGGCTCCATTTATCAACTGTTTACTCTGGGCTGAGTGTTAAGCTGAGCACATTACAAACAAGACCTCATATGACAGCTAAACTTTCATACCAGCCATATTAGGTAGGGATTACCCACTGCAGTTTACACAGCAGCAAGCTCAAGTTTCGAGAGGTTTCAAAAGTCCCCTGCAGCAGACACTGGGTAAGTAGGAATGGATAAGACACAGTCCCTGTTCTCAGGGGGCTGGTAGAGGGAAGGCAGATGTATCAACAGATAAATGCCCTAAGTCCAGGAGGTGCTGTTGGGCAAAGGGGAAGAAAGAAGGCAGAGGGCTGGAGCCATGCAGAAACATTTACAGAAGTGCTGTCCCTGGACCTGTGTTTAGAAAAAATGAGAGGGTGTTTACCAGGCAGAAGGCGGGGATGAGAAAAGGGGCTGGCATGCCTGGTGGGCAGAGCAGCAAGGAGGGAGTGGGACAAAAGCTCAGAAGCAGGAGAACCATTGTAGGTGCTCGGGAGCGACAGAGTTGAATAACACTTGTGTGCAATATGTGATACTCAAATCAAGATAATTAGTATATTCAGCATATACAATGTATCCTACTCTTTTAATAGTGTTATAATAGGGATTAATTTTCAACATGAGGAAACATTCAAACCATAGCAGGAAGTGATCTTTGTCCTATGCTAAGCATATTCTATAGGTTATCCCATTAAATTCTTAGAACAGTCCCACAAGGTAAGTTTTATTTTCTGTTTCTCAAAGGAAGCAACTGAGGCTCACTTGAGTTAGGCTCCAGGCTCCTCACGTGTCTCTTTCACAGCATCCAGAGAGGTCATTCAGAAATCCATGTCTAATCACACTACCCCTTTACTTAAAACTGACACTTTATCCTCATTCCCCTCAATACCCTAAGGATAAAATTCACACTCTTCACGAGATAGCCCCTGCTCACCTCTCCTTTCTCGTCTCTGTCCACCTTCCTCTCCCAACCACCACTCAAGCCACCGTGAACCCCCTGTAGATGCCCTAAGGGGCTACTCTCCCCTGCCTCCAGGCCTTGCTGGGCACAAGCTTGCTCCTTGCAGGAAATGCCATTCCCCCTCCCACCCTGGCCTCCTTCCCCTGGCCAGCTCCAACTTCGTCAGAGCCAGTACAGATGATGTCTCCTCCTCCAGGAAGCTCTCCCTGACACACACACACAACAAGATCAGAGTTAAATGCTTCTTCTCTAAGCTCTCAGACCTTTTATAACATGAAAACTTGCTGAGCCAAAGCAAGGAACTGCACTGGAACATTCTAGGCTGGAAGGTTTGGGGTAGACCCATTTTGGGGAGAGCAGTCAAGCAGTTGTTCCACAGGGTGACACTCTAGGGTGGAGGAAGAGGCTAGCTTCAAGTGCAGATGAACTGAAGGGTGAGGGGCCAAATGCTGACATCCTCAGAGCATTTTTCTGAGCACAGAGCCTTGATTCTTCATCTGTCAGGGACAGGGCAGCCAGACATCAGAGTACTCTTTACAAAAGCCCATAAAAACATTACCATTTTAAATTCTGGCACCCAAATAAAGGATTATTTTCTAACATAAAATATGAATTTTTAGTGTATCTGCAGAGTGTGTATCTTAAAATCAAGTGATACATAAAATGTTAAGAAAACAGAACTGATTGTTTTCTTCTTTCACTTATTTGGTTTGATTGCCTTGAGCAGTGGCATGCAACAGTTTCTCACAGCTAAAACTTATTGAATGTTGATTTTGTCTAGGTCCTTACTGTGTTCTAAGCATGACACATGTATTCTCTAATCCTCACGGCTCTCCTGTGAGACATGTGATGTTATCCTCGTTTTACAACTGACGGTCACAGGGGTTTAGTGACTGTTGCCCAGAGTCACATCTGGTAAGCGGTGGCCAGAATTTGAAACCAGCAGTTAGATGCCAGGGCCTGAATTACAGTCATACTCATTCTTAAAAGAAGGCTTAAGAAGTAAACTTAATATGAAGAAAGTTCTATCAATTCATCTTTTCCTTGATTAGGAAACAACCACCGATACTGTATTATAGCAGCATGGCTTGCACCCCGTTGGTTTAGGCTGTGGAGTCTCCCAAGTTAAGAGGAATGTATAAATGCTATTCTTTTTGACATCCATTTTAGAGTGGTAAGGAAGGAGACCAACCAACTGAGCTCATTTTTACAAGTGTTCATTACTCTTTTCTCCTCTTTGAACATACTTTAGCCACTTTTTCATCTGGCTAACTCCTATCTGACCCTTATAGCCCAACTCAAGCATCACTGCCTCCAGGAAGTCTCCCCAGACTTCCCTATTCATTGCCTATTTTGTATTCTATGTTTTCCTGAACATGCTCTACTGAATATATTTGACTGTAGTCATGACATTGTCTGTCTCACTCTCTGTACTGTAAGTCGCCCAAGTTCAGGGACCTTGTCTCATTCAGCATTGAATCTCCAATACCTACTTCTGCAGCTGATACATAGTAGGTATTCATCTAATTCTTGGTGAAGGGCAGCTGGCTGGTTAGCTCAGTTGGTTAGAGAACAGCTTTGTAATGCCAAGGGCAAGGGTTCGAATCCCCTTGCTGGCCAGTTGTTAAAAAGCAATAACAGCAACAATAATAGTAATTCTTGGTGAAGGAATTACCGACTAGCTAATATATGCTTGACGTTCTACTTTAGTTAATTGCTTATAGAAAAAGTAAGATTACATTTTTAAACTTTGCCTCTCCGTACTTGTGGAGTTAGGAATAAATCCTCCTTAAAAGATCACACTGTTCTGTTTTTATTTTGTTTACTTATTTAAGGCTAGTCAAGTGAAGCAGTAGGAGTGGAGAAGAAACAAAGAAATCTGTAACTGGGGGCCGGCCCGGTGGCGCTAGTGCGCCGCTTGGGAAGCGCGGAGGCGCTCCCGCCGAGGGTTCGGATCCCATGTACAGACCAGTTCCCGCTCACTGGCTGAGCGAGGGGGGCAACACCAAGGGTTGCGATCCCGTTGCCGGTCCCGGTCCGGTACGGGGGCGACACTGAGGGTTGCGTTCCATTGCCGGACACGGAAAAAGACAAAAAAAAAAAAAAAAAAAAAGAAATCTGTAACTGGTTGTGATCAATTATTTGCAAATGCCACTGCACTGGTAGCACCTGTTTTTATTTTAAAGTAATACATATTCATTCTTTAAGAGTTGAATAGAGAGGCAGCTCTGGAGTCAGACCACCTAGGTTTTCATCCCAGCTCCAACACAACCTACTAGCTGTGTGATCTTGAGCAATCACTTAACATCTCTGTCTCATTTCTTTTTTTGTAAAGTGGGGATGATAACAGTATGTATAGCTAAGGTTGTTATGAGGATTAAATTGGTTGAATATTTGTAAAGCATTTAGAACAGTGCCTGATGCAAAGCAAGTATATAGAAGTGTTTATTAAGTTAACAGTTCTATAAATCTTGTTACAAAAAATTGCGCTCCTCTGGACGCTGTTTCCCATTCTCGGGCGACACTTTCCAGTTTTTTAACTAATTGTTTTGCTATTTGCTCCCCCTCCATATATCTAAATACCACGCTGCTCTGGCTACTTCTTGACTTATCAGTGTTAGGCATTATCTATTGACTTCTCACTAGGAAAGATAATGACTGGGTTCTCTTGCACATATGTATGCATTTCCCATCTCCCATCCTCCCAATGGGTTTATATTGTAATTTTAGATGGATCATTAATCAGCATTATGATACTATCAATACTACTGCCAGCTGAGCCATGGAGAGTACTATGGCTATTTTTCTTATAAAACTTTTTTTATCCCTGGTACTAAGGCTATTTATTTATTTGTTTGCTTTAATTTACCTGTTTTCTTGCTTAGTTTTTTTCCCCCCCTTTTGTGCTTATCACAATTCATTTCCATATTCTCCCTTGGTTGTATAAATCTGCTCCCAGTACATTCAGACACTTTACATAGTCTATCGATTTCACCTTTATTTTCCAGTCTTCTGACCTGCTTCATGCTGGGTGGTCAATTTCTAGGCTGTCTTCGTAATCCTGGGGACTCCCTTCTTCATTCTCTTGATTATACTGTTTTTTTCAATCTGTTTTT